TTAGATTCACAATAAAATTCAAGGAGAATAATTGTATTAAAATATTTATTTATTTTTGTTTCACGTATAATTAAAAACGTATGTAATTTCCTAAAGACAATCCAGAATATTCTCTCTTACTCAATTCTAGACCTAATTGTCCATCTACAATGTGTTTATCATATATTTACATTATATATGTTATAATATCATGTATATGTCATCTATATCATATATTTATGATGAACTAATTCAATGGATTTGCCTTTCAACCTATAGTCTGAAAAAATAGTTACTTTTAGTTTTTCATGAATGGTTTATTAGGACATTATATTTTGAGTAATCATGACTCTTAGAAGGTGCTTTGGTATTCTGGGACTCAAAATTAGCACAATTTGATCTGCAAACAAGGGCAACTGAAATATATCATCATCTCAAGGTAGTCCCTTTTCCACTTGGTCCAGAGAACAGCGTCCTCCATGACAGTCATGAGTACCTTTGGTGAGATTCCATCTTCTTCTATAACACTTTGCTTGATGTTAATGATAATGGGGTCATCAAAAAGAGTAAATTTTGCAGCTGAATTTATCAAGGAACCTGTATGATCTTAACTTTAGTAAGCTTGTTGGAAGATAGACTTTAAATTTGCATTTTGCCCTACTGAGTAAAATGTGTTTTTGTTATCAACCAACAATAAACATAGAATTTTGCAATTTTTGGTGCCTTTCATCCAGTTATATAACCATAAAAATGTGGTCTGCTATAGAAAATCATTTACAAAAGACTGACCATTCTCTTTCCATATTTTCATCCAGGATAACCTTGATAGTCTATAGATCATTCTCATAGATTTTATAAAGACAATCAAGTAGGCGTATGAGTTGATAGTTCTTATGTCCTCTTAATCACGTGTTTGTAGTGATTAAGTGATCTGTGGCAATTAATATCATTCACAATTTTCCCTTGTTTTTGTTACCTTTCATTCCTTAAAATATCCTTCGATACTTTCAAGATTGTTTTGCCTCTAGCACAGATTTGTTCAGTTTATACTTGGTCTGGTTCAGTTTCTTTTCCTCATTCTCTTTTTATGTAATTTGTACTCTTTTGTTTGTTTAACACATCATAGACTGAGAAGTTAGAGTTTGATTGTCAACAATAATGGAAATAGATCATTATTGAAACATGAACAATCTCTTTATCTTTCTGCATCTATGTGTTGTCCACATGGCAGTTACAGTTATGAATGCTTTTAGGGCAATATTGCTTATTTGGTTCTCACATCAATATTTATGAAGGCTGGTTTTCAATGTTTTATGAGATGTTGATCATAATTTTCTGTCACCCTCCTCCACAAGGTTTTATAAACAATTTTATATTATAATCTAGTATTCCTTTTGCATAAATGTCTCTCCACTGGGAAAGAAAATAATATATTTTCTTGGTACTTTTGGCTTTTTTGTTGTTGGACAGCTTTGTATTTGTTAAACTTTTTAGAGAAAATGATGACAATCAAAGTCAGTATCTTTGCCTTTTTCCATTTCCCACTTTTGTCACGGATGATGAATTGTTTGAAAAGGTTGGGCTGAAGTTGTAGAAAGTGTTGGTGTTATCTTCTTGTCTTAACCTTTTGTCTAACTTGATATTGGTTTTGGCCTTAGTTCTAACTAGTTAATAGTCTGAGTAAACACGAATTTTGAAACTCCGCAACAGTAAGCAGTCATTTTTGGTTTCTTATGATATCCTCATTTTATTTTCTTGTGTGACATTGTTGAGTGCTCTTCACACTCAATGTTTTATGACTTTCTTCTGGAAGAAAATATTAATGCTATTCATACATACACTCAGAAACATGAAGCTTTTGAGTAGCCTACAAGTTTTGGTATTTTTGTTTCTAAAATAAAATTTACCAGTCTAATAAATCATAAGCTGATCTACTTAAAATAAGAAATAGCCTGTTCTGGGTAATTACAACTTCCTTTGTAAATATTCATAAGTTACCCCTTTAATAATAAATATCAAGAACATCAAGTCAAGAATCAAAGTCAAACTCATTGACTAATAGTTTTAAGAACCCCCCCCTCTTTTTGGAAGGGGAGCCAATGTCAGTGTCAAGTCCTTTGGCTCTTCTCCCATTCATCTTGAGTCTTCAAAGCTTCCTCATATTGGCTAACCAACCACACCTGCCAGTTCTTTTCATTGTCTGGAACTGAGTTTGTTTGCACTTGGTACTTAAACTCACTGGGGGCATCTAGGTACTCTTTGAATGTTTCTTGATGTACATTGGGTTTCAACACCTTGTTAATCATTTCTGTTCTATTCTCCCCACTCTGAGATCATTCTCCTTGGCAAAGAAAACAGAAGCAAAATAAGAGCTCAGTAGTTCTGCCTCCTCTTTGTTATCCATTATTACTACCTATCCATGTCAAGCAAGATTCGTTTTTTTTCTGCATGACCTGATATAGGCTAATATTAGGTCCAACTAACTTGGATGTGAATTATACTTCTCAAGAGAAAACTTGGACCTTGTAATGAATATTTAAAAATCATTAGCAATGTAAAATTTCTACAATGCCTTGACTTAGTTGTCTTTATCATTAAAAAAAAATGTCTAGTATGCAAGTATATTTCAGAGCAAGTCTGTGGAAAGATAATCATAACAAATACCCATGAAGGCCTGGCCACTTAGGGATGAGATTCAGTGAATGAGGGGAATGGTTGCTGGCTGCTCTGTAACTTTTTCTTCCACTGCTCATCCCTAAATCCTCCTAGGAAAAAACATAAATCTAAATAAATATAGTTCACTCCTCAATATTCCTCACTCCCAGGTAAATTCCCCAATTGCCCTCTGATTATACCTTTTGTTCTGAAAGGATACTCTGGCCATTCCCAACCCTCATGTTCCTATAGCCCCAAAGGAAAGAATCCTTTCATTGTTTTGTACCATCCACGACTTGCACGCACAAAGAGATTGAAAGTTGGAGTTTTGTTTCTGGGGCACAGGGCACACTATTTGTTTGTATATAACCATGAGTTAAATTTGGCTTTTAATCTGACTTTTTTTTAAGTTGCATGTTATCTCAGATTTCTTAGAGAAAGTCTATGGGAATTAACATTTATTTTCAATGTACAAGAAATTGCCTAAACACAACCAGAATTTGGCAGGAGTTAGATTAAATGGGCAAAACTACTCCTATTCTTAATTAGCAAGTCCATAGAATATAAAATGTCAGTGCTGGAAGAGACTTTAGAAATAATGTAGTCCAGCTTCCTTATTTGACAGATGGACAAGCTGAAGTCTGAAGAGGCTGTGAATAGTTTAAGGTCACTGCCTGAGTCAGAACTAGATTTCAGTCTCCTGATCCACAGTTTTAAAATCTGAGTATAGGCATAGACTGAATCCAGGCCAAGCATACTTATACAGAGAAAGTAACGTGGCCATGTAGAGTGAATATTCACCTCAGTGGAGAGAGGCTACAAAAATAGATTGTATTAAGGAGGAGAGAGAGAGAGAGAAAGAGAAAGAGAGAGAGAGAGAGAGAGAGAGAGAGAGAGAGAGAGAGAGAGAGAGAGAGAGAGAGAGAGTGAGTATACAGGACTTTTTTCCTTATCTAGCAATTCCTAGGACTAATTCTTAAACTTTTGAAGCTGGTCAATGATGTTTAATCCTATAGTCATTAGATAGTTACATGTTAATGTGCCCATCTATACAAATTAGGGCTATTACCACATGATCAATCATTATTAAGGACTGAATAGAAGGCCCAAGATGGGTCTGATCAAACTTGTACCAAGCACAGAACCTGCAATTAGAGGTCTTACATTCCTCAACATCTTGACCAGATTGGTTTACTCAAATTATTAAACTAAAGGAATGGTTCTTTTGATGCAGTTTGAGCATTACTATAACATGCTTAAAAAAGAATAAGGGCTGTTTTTTAAAAATTTTTCTTCCAGGTGGATTAAGGTTTTAACTACACTATTCTGTCAATATCTTCCAAAATTATGTGTTAAACTATGTTTACATACACAGTTAAAAAAACACAGAATAATAATGATGGTACAACAGGAACCTCATTTTTATTTAAATAATAATACTATCAAATTGTTCTTTGCAATCTCAAAAGTCTTTAGCTTCATAATTTTATCTGATTCTCTCCATGATCCAGGGAGGTAGATAGGGCAGGTGTAAATATCCATGTTTTATCAAAAAGCAGGACATGAAGTTCTGAGTATTTGCTTAATGTCACATGGCTATAACGTGGCCAACAGATCAGGGATTTGAACCTAGGTCCTTTGACTTTTCTTGCTGACTTTCAAAAGAGATTCTATGTAGGGTTTCTTTCAACATTAAAAATAGGATTCTATCTCATCTCAAATATATTTATATATAGTACCCTTTATGTACATGCAGCATTGAAGTCTGCCTGAATAGCATTATTATACATGCATATATACTTACAAATATATTTGTATATATATCATATATGCAAATATATTTACAAGCATATATATGCCTATACATTGGTCAAATGAGATTTATCAAATATTAATGTACTTATTTTCATTAGTGTATGTGAATAATAAAATATGTTTAAAGAAATATGGTTCATTCCTCTATTTGAAATTACTAATCATTACAATGAGGATGAGTGTCATGCTCCACTGGTATCTTTGAGATGTCAGGAGAAGCTGAGAAAGGCATCTATTATGTTGAGTGGACCTACTGTGGCAAATTTAGGGGAAGTTACAATCAAGAGTTGCACAGGATGGGCAGACACAGATGGGTTACAATCTGCTTTGTTGAAAGGAATAGCAAAGTAAATGGGATCAAGAACCACTGGAATATTTGAGGGCTGAATAATCATTCAATGAAGTATAGAACATTTTCAATGTTTAAAATCTGTGTTAAAGATAATTTCCAACAGGTGTTTAATTTACTCCAAAAATGTGAATTCGTGAGCACTTAAAGTGTGAAATCTTTTGGGTAATGTTTATCTTCTGCTATCCTTTCTCTTTTGCAGGGTTTTTGGAGCTGCCATACTCCTCACCTCCACCCTCAATATGCTAATCCCATCTGCAGCTAGAGTGCACTATGGCTGTGTTATATTTGTTAGGATCTTACAAGGGCTTGTTGAGGTATGGAATAGTAGTACTACTAACAGAATGAACAGATTAACTTTTCTGACTGATAAATGAAGACTTGATATAAGGCTAAGTCTACACAATGCCAAACCTACTGATTGAAATGCAATATAACTCCATTCGACAGTGTCTTTATTTTGTACTGAGCACCATAGTCCCCAGGGGAATAATAAGGATTAGATGAACACCTGTCCTTAAGGAGATGAGAATCTAACAGGATGGTATGGCATGTACAGAAGAGTGTTGGCCTTGCAGTTGTGAATCACTGACATTCAGAGATTGAAGGCACCCTTAATAGCATCTGTTCCAATCCACACCAGAAAAGACTGCCCCCTACAACCTTCCTGACAAGTGACCATCCAATCACTTCTCAAAGACAGGAGGGGGAACTTACTACTCTGGAGCCAGCCCTTTCCACTTTGAGATGTATCTAATTGTCAAAAGATTTTTTTTCCTTCTTTTTATCAAGCCTAAATATTTTTTCTTTGCAATTACTACTCTTTGCTCTAAACTCTCTTCTCTAGGGGCAGGAAAACCTGAGTTCACATCATACCTCTGATGCCTATCAGCTATGTGACCATAAGCAAACCTGGTGTTGTCCTTGTACCTAAGGGTTCTCTGTAAAATGGGAATTGTAATACTTATCTCGCATATCTCACAGCATAGTGGTGAGATTAATTACATATGTACATACATATACGTATATGTATAATATGTATACATATATAAACACACACACATTTTCTTTCTTTCTTTCCTTCCTTCATTTCTTTTTCTTTCTTTCTTTCTCTTTTTTTCTATCATACTTTATAAACTTCCCTAAAAAGGTTATCTCAATATGTCAGTTATTATTTTATGTGAGCACATGAAAACCACATAAACAATAATAACTAACTTTATTTAGAGTTTTATTATATGTGGCAATGTGGTATAATAGATAGGACCAAACTTGAAGCTAAGAAGACCTGGGTTCAGGTTCTGTCGCTGACACATACTGTGTAACTCCGAGCAGGTCACTTAACATCTCAGTGCTTTCCATGAACTCTCTAAAATTGTAAATGGCAGACTAATTGTCAGCCTCAATTGGCAGAAGGAGTTTCATCCCCCAGGAGTTCTCTCACCAACAAAATCACAGATCTAGTCTTAGTTTTATTACAAGAATTATTTACTCCCATTTTACAGATGAGGAAAGTGAGGCCCAAGGAGATTAAATGACGTGCATTGTCATACAGCTAAGTCAGAAGCAAGATTTGGACTCATGTTTCCCTGAGGCCAGATTGAGTATCCTTTCTACTACATCACACTACCTCTCTAGAGTCTAGAGAAAGTTCATTACTGATGATATATCAGGGAAGGGTTAAGGAAGGAGACAGTAATAAGGATGACTCATACTGGGGTGATGGCAGTGGGTAGAGAAAAGAGGGGTCAGATGGAATTGACAGGACTTGGTGACTCATTGGCTATGCCAGGTGAAGAAGATGGGAAAGGGGAAAGATAGCACTAAGAATAAGAAGACAGGCCAGTTTACAGTTGCTCTGTCTTCATGATACCAAACCACTGTACAAGTGACAGTTTTCAAAGAACTGGCTCCTTTAAAAAATGATTAGTTGTCTTGGCATTGTGCAGACACAACTTCTTTGTGGAAATAGGACAATAAAATATTTTGAGTCAGGAAATTTCTGGGAAAAACCATGAGTCAATGAGGAATTTCTCTTAGAAAGTTTTAGATTTTTTTTTTGCTTGTAGTATTTCTGATTTTATTTTGTCAATTCAAGCTGGTATTCCATTAAACAGATTCCTGCTGTCTAGAAATAGAAAGGACAGCCAACTTTTAATTTTAAACAGTTAACAGCAGTTCTGAGTTTAGCCAATGTTATCTTTATTGGATGTCAATTTGTGAAAGAGAAGAATATTTTAAATCATTGACAAAAGCCTTCTCCCTATAGTTAGCATCTAAGACCACAAATCATAGAGGAAGCTAAATGTTTTGCTAAGGTCACCAAGCTTCAGAAATAACCAATAAAACTCAGTAATTACTTTGCTCTATAAATATGACCTTCAAAAATCAGAGATCAGCAATGGATTCTGGCTGTCCCTTTCATTTTGGAACTAATGAGTTGCATAGGGAAATTGACATATCCCTAAATTATCTTCCAAAATTCTGCAGAGAAATGCCTGGAGGGGCAGAGGAACTGTGGGTCTGGATAAAACTCTTAGCTTCCTTTTTCTAAACTGGAGCTGAATAAAATTTGAAGTGATGCGAAAACCTTGGAGAGGGAGGGTGGATGTAATTTTTACCTTAAAATAGGTCTTCTCCCTCTTGAGACCCAAAGTGTCTAAGGGGGCAGGGAAGACAAAGAGAAAGTGACATTTAATTGCATTTTGGAGCAACTTGGGACTAGTCTGTAGGTAAGACACAAGAAAGGCAAGTGGTTTTGCTTTTCAGTTTCTCAGTATTCTGTGCTTCCCCCCGCCCCCATTTTCCCCCACAGGGAGTCACCTATCCTGCCTGCCATGGGATATGGAGTAAATGGGCCCCTCCTTTAGAAAGGAGCAGACTAGCAACCACTTCATTTTGTGGTAAGTAACTTGCTCTTCTTTTCTGTGGAATATGAGCTCATGTCAACAATGTCTATTCATTTCCTGTCTCCTCTTCTGTTTGTTGTAGGTTCCTATGCGGGAGCTGTGATTGCTATGCCTTTAGCCGGGATTCTTGTGCAATATACTGGATGGTCTTCAGTGTTTTATGTCTATGGTATGTTAACCTTTTACATTCAAGGCAAGCCTGCTCTATTCTCAGCCAGGTGTCAGAAGATAAAGTCATTATTAGCCACAGGTTAATGGCAATAAGTCCAAGCTGAAAAGAAAATAGTAAAGCATTTTTTTAAAATGAAAGATAACATTTGGTTATGGTGAATTTTGATATGAGGTAGCATTTCCTTCACTAAAATCCTCCTTGATGCCATCTTGGAACAGGTGATGTGGATTCTCAAAAAGCTAAAACTCTGGGGAATTAGATTTACATTTGGAAAAATCCTTAGAGAGTATCTAGGACAATCCTCTTATTTTTACAAATGAGGAAACTGAGGCCCAGAAAGGTTATGACTCCCCCCCCCTCACCCCTTGGTCTTAAATAAGTAACTCAGGTTGTCTGACTCCAAATACATGGCTCTATCCCCTGTATCAAGCTGTCCCTTATCTTGTCTTGCTTCTTGGAATCTAAACTCTGTCAGAGTATACCAAATTGGAAATATTCAGAGTATCCCAGAGATGGACTCCGGGCTTGTCAATCAAGGACCAGATTAGTTAAATACATTTGGTTGGCCACCAAGCAATGAATAATTTTTTTTCTTTTTTGCCACATTAAGTCATGAAAATATTCTGCTAAGGCATGGAGGGTTTGCAATCTGTTGGTGAAGAGTAGCCATATGGTTGAAATCACAGATCTTTTGAAGAATTCGAGTCATGTTGTATTTACTTCTGTCGTGTCTCTCTCACCTTAATATTTTGAGATTAAAAAATGTTTTCCACCCATAATTCTTCCCATACTATTCATTGCTTCTTGGAAATAGTTATTAAGCTGTCAACACAGGCTTCTCTGAGCAAAATGTTCTTTTTTTCTTCTTGTGCATGTGTGTGTGTGTGTGTCTTTGTGTGTTTAAAAGAGAGTTGTAAGAGGAGACTAGGTGTATGAATTCATTGGCATAGGGTGCTCTCCATGAGGAAACTCCCCTTACCAATGGAGATCAGTGTGTGTTCTAGGACTTACAGCCTCAGAAAGTTGCCTGGGGCACTGAGAGGTTAAATAATTGGCCCAGTGGACCCAACCAGCATGTGTCAGATGCAGATGGGACTTGAACCCAGGTCTTCTTGACTCAGACCTACTCTCTATCTACTATATCACACTGCTTTTTGCTGGAGATAATGAAAGACTGAATTAAAAGAAGTATATTTTATTTTTAAAAGATTTTATTGGTGTTCTTTGTTTCTTTGTTACAAAAAAAACAATGAAACTTTAAAAATATATGCTGTTCTTGTAATTTAGCCTTTAATCATCCCTAACAAGGAGAAATAGAATCTATTAACTATTGCCACTGGATGAGATGAGATGGAAAGGAGAGCTTATAAACATGCACTCCTCTACCTTTCTTCTCCCTCACTTTTCATCTCCTTTGGGTTGTGGATACAGTCTCCTAATATACTAGATAATCCTGTAGAGGTACTAGTAGTAAACTTAGGCTGTATGAACCTAATCTTTCTTTCCCTAGACTTGAAAGGAAAGAGAATCATGATCATAGATATAGATCTGGAAGGGTCTTTAAAGGTCATCTAGTCTAACATCTTCATTTTACAGATAGGGCAACTAAGGTCCATGGAGATTAAGTGACTTGTCCAAGGTCACGCAGATGGTAAGCGTGTGGATACAAACTCTGGTCCTGAGATGTCAACACACCATTCTTAAATCAATTGTAGACCATCTCTCCCTAGTTACAAGGCTTGTTTCTTTAAAGCCAAACTATAGTCTTCCTTTCTAAGTGACATTTTAAAAATAACCAGATAAATTGATAAAGGAAAGAAGAAATTGCTAGAGAATTAGTTTTCAGCGCCACCAAATGAACTTTGCCTCTCTCTCTTAATAAATGAAGGTGAGAAGCTGAAAGACGAATAAAAGGTGACAGAGAATCAGGTCCCAGAAGCTCATACAATTTGTCCCATTTTATTACTGCTTTATGAAGAAAACACCAGGGGATGGTGGAGATTGTGAATAGTTTATAGGATATCTATTAAGTTGTGACTTTCTATTATTTGGGGAGTAAGAAGATTCATGATCTCATTAGATAAGTGGTTCAATTGTTCATTTAGTTAGAAAGTAGGGTAAATCATTTCAATCAAGATATTTATTATAGGTACTATAAGACTTAGTCACTGGAGTGGACAAAGTTTAACTAAGACATAGTTCTTGCCTTCAGGGAGCTTTTAGTCTAATACAAGAAAAAGTCAATAACTATGATATATAATAAGAGATAAATATGTTAGAGAGGTTCAAAACCAAATGCTTGGTGTGGTCCAATGGGAAAGAGGATCAGGCAGGCTTTAAGGGATGCAAAGGAGTTTATCAGGTATAGTGGAGTCAGGAGAGTTTTGTAGGCCTAAGGAAAAATGTGAGAAAAGACTCATTGGCTCAGATTTAGAATTCAAAGAGAATTTAGAGGCAATCAAGTTTAATCCTTTCATTTTACAGATGAGGATTCTGAGACCCAGAAAGATTAAGTAACTTACTTAAAAAAGGCCATGAGTGTCAGAGATAGGGTCAGAACCCAGGTCTTCTGACTCTAAATTTCACGGATTTGAAATCCCTTCCCACCATATCATGCTACCTCTCAAAGGCAAAGAAGTGGGAAAGTACAAGGTCTAATCAGGAAACAGACAGTAGTCCAGTTGAGCTGAAGTGTAGAAAATGTGGACATGTGAATTATGTGACAAGACTGAAAAGGTAGGGTAGCAATAGATGGCAAAGGTCCTTTGCCATAAGATAACTAATGACCTGGGCTTCTTTCTATATGCCATACATGTCAATTGACAGTTAAAATGACAATTAAAGTCATGCCATATACAGTGACCACCACTGACCTGATGTAGACACAGGTCAACCTTTAGATTAAAAAAAAAACAACTTTTGAAATATATTATGCTTAATGAATTTACCCAGACAGAAAGTAGGAATTGAGTATGTACAGCTAAGGTGGAAAATGCAAATTGTAGGCACTCTAAGTTGGATATTTGAACATATAACCCCCTCTCCTGTGAGGCAAATAGAGCTGGAGCATAATAGTAATTTTCTGTAATTGATTGGAACAGAACAAGGATGTAAGCCAGCCAGGATGTTAAGGAGAATCAATGGAGATTAAGAATGGGGTGGGAGTAGGGGGAGAAGATCGGGACATTCACCTTGTTCCTCAGGGAAACACACTACCGAAAGAATAGTATGATGGGGGGAATTGAAAGGTCTAGCAATTGAAAAATTAGAATAAGTCAGTCGACGTTCCTTCTATTATTAATGACTGTACATACATATACTGCAGAGCAGGCATTTTTTTTTAAATGATGAGATTGCTAAAAAGGGAAGGCATGAAAAAGGACTCACAAGGCTCAAAGGGAAGGAGTTTATAGCCATTCGTTTATCAAATGACTTGGTAATACATTAGGTGATATTATCATATACTGGAAAGAACACAAGGGTTGCTTACATGAAATATAGAATGTTGAATATAGAATTAATTACTATGCCTCACTTCTTTTGTGTCCAAGCACTTAGAACAAGAAAAGATGCTGAATTTTGTTTTAAAAGATGGTGTCACCTCTGACACATCCTGGCTAGGTAACCTTGGGCAAGTCACTTAACCTCTCAATTCCCTCAGGCAATTCTCTAAGACTATCATTTGCTGAGAGCATGGGTGGAGGAAGTTTCCACATCAGGGTTTCCACTCACGGTGATGAAATCACAAATCCAAGAACCCCCAGCCATCACCACCAAAAAAAAAAATGTCCATGACAGTGATGTTTCTAAGCTTTAGATAAATGGTAATGAACAGATCCCTTCCCCAACCCCAACCCCAACACACACACACACACACACACACACACACACACACACACACACATACGCACATGCACTCAAATGTTTAAAAAAAACTTTCCAAAATTGAGTGAGGGGACCCATGCCACTGGGATTTTAAGAATTACCTTTTTATTCTACCAGTAGGAAAATCATATAGAAATGATATAGGCTGTGTCTATACAATAAATTAGTTTGACTGAATTCAGTTGGGTTTTTTAGCTTTTTTTTTAAAGATTTATTTCAGATAAGAAAAGTGTCCATTTGTTTAGCTAATGCCAAGCAATAAGGTTAATTCCATTTTTCACTTTCCAAAGAATTGTCTTGTTTGCACAGGTAGATCGTGCCTACCTGTAATGCTTTCTTAAATCCCCAGTTGAAATGACAGCCCTTCACCTTTCACGCCTCCAAAGTCTGCAGCTCTATGTATTGACTAAACCAATTCATGGATTTTCAGAATGGCTGAAGTCTACTAATACAAGCTCTACTTTCTCATCCAGTGGAATGAGTGCATTAGTGAGAGCAATTACAGTACCATTCTCACCTCCACTGAAGTGGGATGCCATTGCTATACTGATGTAAGCTGGAGCTGTAGAGTAAAATGTATTCTTGGCTAAAATAACCAGCCTTCTTGATCCATAGGTCCTTCAACATGCTGATGAAATAAGAACAAATTGCTAATTATATAGAATAAATGGAAACTTCTATGTGTGAGTCTCACATTTTAAAGTCTTACTCCTTCAGTGTCCTATCCTCTGCCCTTTTCTTTTCAACAGGGAGTTTTGGAATGGTCTGGTATATGTTTTGGCTTTTGGTGTCTTATGAGAGCCCTGCTAAGCACCCGACCATTACAGATGAAGAACGAAGGTACATAGAAGAAAGCATTGGAGAGAGTGCCAATCTTTTAGGGGCAATGGAAGTAAGGACTTTATTACAGTGTATATGCCTGCTCTTATTTTTTCCCCCAAACTCTTTTCCAAGCCCATATTCAAGAAAATGAATTTTCTGAATTTCCAATACTATTGTAAAAAGCCCAATTCCCCTTGATTCTTTGGAATCAGAACTGGCTTGCTTTCTAACTTCTTGCTCAGCAATTCCTTTTGCTCCTTTTCCCTTTGGTTAATAGTTCCTTATCCAACTTTAGATATATGATTATAGATAGAAAATAGTTTAAAATATAGCAGCTATATATTGTCAGTAATTGGTGCATCAGGGTGAACAGGGGAACCATCAATTGATCGACTGGGTACGTCTCATGGAATTACACATGCACTCTGGCTTCTTGCCAAGGGACAAGGGCCATTGTAAGGATAACATAGGGAAAGCCTAATTAGGGTCCTTAATGAGTGGAGGTGAAGATGATTGGAGACTGAGTCAGGTAGATGATGGACTCTCGTTCAGAGGAGCTACCCCTCTGCACTCTTGAAGAAAAAATGACTCCATTGTCTTTTGGGACTCTTTTCTGGAACTTTCTCCCTCCTTTACTCTTAAAGACCACAAATGGATAGGCTTCTCCCAACAAGAGCCCAGATTTCTGACTCTCAGTTGACAGTCTTTGAAGCAGCCTCTGGGAGCTATTCAAGAGTTCTCTGTCATCTGAGCAAAAGCACATGTGCCTCGATGGAGAGCCAAAGCATATTCTAGCTCTAGAGGAGGTGCCCCAGTCCAACAAGTCAGGGGTTTGCCTAAACACTCATCAGCGCTTCTTAAACTGTGGGGCTGAGATGCGGTTAGGAAAAAGTGGACAACAGTAAAAGATTTCTGAATGCGCAATGACCAAAAATTAATTAAAATTCAAATGGTGTAATGAATGAATCTGAGATGTTTCTGGCAGTGCTTTCAGCATGCAGCTTCACTGAAGCTTTGGTTTTGAACCCAAAGCATGCATCCTTTGCACTGAGCATGCCCTCAGGCCATGCAATGCCAATGAATGCTATCAAAACATGAAAAGGTGTCGGGAGTGGAAAAAATTTAAGAAGCCCTGTGACCTATACCAACTATTTGACTGAATTTAACCACACACACTGGTTACTTTCAAACCATAGAAAATTCTCCATTTTCAGAATTCCAAACTTAGTAAATACTTTCAAATTCAAATACATAAAGAATAATGACATTTTATGAAGATATAAAGTGTTATTTGTAATTTGTTTTAAAATGCATGTACCAATTTTAGCAAGTGACAGACTCTTTGTCTTTATAACATGGTCAGGGAATGAGCTATTTTAGTTATCAAATATTACAGTTTAACTCTGATCATTGTAGATTAACTACATTTGTAGAGTACCAATGATGCAGCATGCTACTCACACCTTGACAGACAGGTGATGGTTTTGAGATGCAGAATGAACTATATATTTTTGGATATGACCAGTGTGGGAATTTGTTTTGTTACATATTTGTTATAAGTGTTTTGTTTTTCTTTCTTTTTTTTCCAGTGGGTGCAGGAAGGTGGGAAGAAAAGAGAATTAATCTTTACTAATTAAAAAAAATTAAATTAAAATATAGTTCTATAATTCCTATTTATACCCATATATGCTGCACATTGAGGGTTTATTTCTGAAGCATTAGCATGTAGTAATTGACATTAGTCCCTAATACCACCTGAGCATAATTTAAGTTTGCTTATATTAAAAATTGAACTAGATAATCTCTAAGTGGGCCTTCAGTCCTAAAATTCTATTATTTTAATCCATTTTTGATGTATCAGAATGCATTTAAAGATCCTAGAGGATCATCATTATGCATATCAAATAGCCTGCTGTAGTTGTGTGGATGGCTCGGTCAATGGTATATTGTGTAACAAAACTGGGAGCCTTCTTTGGAGTCTCTGGACATCTCCAAGACACCAATGTCCCAAGATACCAATGTATCACAAGAACTGTCCAACAATTTTCCCTGATTCTTGCCACATGCCTTCTTCTCTGATAATATATTTTTGGTAACATTCTTTATAGTATTTCATTAGAAGTCCTAAACTCAATTAAAACCATTAAAGTAACAGACACAGTAATCTTAAAAGGGGAAATATATATATATATATATATCTGAATTCTAGATCTTGTGAAGTGCTTTAGCTGGAATGATTTAGCCTTAGCCATTCGTACTGACTGAAAATTCAGGTTTGTAGTGGATGCTTAGGCCCATGAAAATTCACCAAAGTGGCAGCTTCCCATATTCTTTATGCTTCCCATGCTGGAACATCCTTGTCAGCTAGAACCTTTCTGATGTCCCCATGGTATGGAACATACGCCTTGGGAGGATATAGTTTGGACATTTTATCCCCCAATGAATAAGGCTCTTGGTTCAGTCTTCTATACTAGTAATATTTTGAAGTTTTTGAAGTTGTCTTTAAAGAAACAAGCCCATCTTCACCCAGATAAAATATTGTGTATATAATTAGATTTGCCTATAACTAAGACATCTTGTCAGGAAGTGTTGTTCCCTGTTTGCAGCTAGTGTCCTGCTTATATTGGCATACCATTCATCCAAAAAAAAAAAACCAAAACCCTAAAACACTCAAACCCTTGTACCCTTAACATTCCCCTTCAACTTTCTTCTTTCATTGCTTTCTCTGTGTTCAAACTAGGATTATGGAGCAGGAAGGGAATTGGGAGATGATCTGTTACATGCAATCTTTTCATTTTATAGATGAGGAAATTGAGGCCCATTGATATTAAGTGACTTGCTCAAGGTCATATAACTAATTAATATAAGAATCTGGAGAAGAACTTTGGTCTCCTGACTCATAAGCCAGGGTTTTTCCTGTTACATCGTGTAACCATCTGTAAAGGGAGGAGCAACAGTGGAGGTAGAAGTTAGGTTCATGGGACTCCATAGTGCCCAATGTTAAAGATACATTACTCCTTCATGGAATGTTATAGATCTGTACGTTCAAACAAGGCCACCCTAACTTGGCTATGATAAGGCTTTAAAGTATTCATAAGGTGGGGAAATAAAATTAAATGATATTTGTGTGCTTATTGCATAAAGAAGCAAAAGTAGGCCATGGTATTAGGTCCATGATCATGGACAGAAAGATTTTTTTTATAGTCATCAGATTAGATTAAGTGAACTGTACGAATGTCTACCTGTTTAATTAATTTTACGGCTCTTCGTTATAAAAGCAAGAGTTGACAGTACAAATAAGATTTGACTGAGTGGACTACCATATCATAAATATCAAACTAGCTGTGCGAATTTAGAGAAGGCATCTGGGGCACAGTAAAAAATGGGATTGAGTGTAATAGCCAATCCATTTCATCCTAACTTATAGTGCTTTAGAGTTACCAAGTGGTTTACATACATTATCTCTTTTAATTCTCATGCCAACTCTTTGACATTTGTGTAAGCACATTTAACTCCCCATACTATCACAGATGAGGAAACTGAGTTGAAGAGATATTAAGTGAGTTGTTCAGGATATAGGGCTGTGGGAGTCAGTGGGAGACCAATGGCCAGATGAGTTTTCTTTTCCTTTTTTTTTTTTGCTCCAAGTAAAATACTTTAAAAAAAATTACATCACATCACATGTCTGCTTAATGCACTAATTATTTTAAAAGAAAAATCCCTGATTATAGTGTGATAGATATGACCATGTCACTCCCCTTCTCAAGAAGCATCCTTGCCTGCCTGTTGCATCTACAACAAATTATAACCTCTTTTTAAGGAATTTAAAACCATTCACACTCTTTCTCTAACCCATCTTTCCAGACTAATTTCATATTACTCCTATTCATGCATTTTACATGCCTGTCAAACTGACCTGCCTGTTATTTCCAATATGACATTCCTTCTTTGATTTCCATGCCTTTTGCATGGGTGCTTCTTCTCGCCATTCCCCTTCTTGAAATCTCCAGCTTTCTTCCTTCCTTCATGGTTGAGATGAAGCAATTTCACCAACAAGAAGCCTTTCCTGCTCCCCCAGTATTCAGTGCCACTCTGAAATTACTTTGTAATTATTATGTATGTATTTTGAGTTAGCAAAATTTAAGCCTTTGATGTCAGAGACTGTTTCACTTTTTGGTTGCTATGTCTCTAATCCCTAAAACAGTCCCTGACACACAGTAGGCACTTAAATGTTTGTTGATTTGAATTGAATTATTGCCAAGAATTGAGTTGGCTTCCAAGTGCAACTACACAAGGTTTTGATGTATAGGGTAATTTGAAGTTGGGCCTGGGCTGCATCATATGTTAATACTAACACTAACTACTATAATGTGTGTGAGTCTTTAAAATTTGAAATGTATTTTCCAATAGCTCATTCAATCCTTTCAATAGCCCTTTGAGATAGGATTATAGGTATGATTATTCACATGTTACAGAGAAAGAAAATGAGACTGAGATAGATGAAGGTACTTGTTCGGTGTTACATAGTTAGGAAGCTCTCAGAGGCAGCATTCAAACCCAGCTCTCTCCTGACTCCAAGCCTAGGACTTATAGCCTGTATCTCTCTTTTAGAACCTTTGCGAGATCTGAGACTCTTAGTTATTAACTCCCAGACTGATGTTCTATGAGACTAGGGAAGATGCTGCTACCACAGTGTTATTACCAAAAAGGCTTATCTAAAGTCTGATTATTAATCAATCAATCAACAATTTTTTTTTCATGCACCGCATATGCAGAAGTATGCTGGAGCCAGATCAAACCAGCTCTTGAAAGCTGATTGCTAAATTTTTGGTGGGAGCATTTACACCTTGAAAATTGGCAAATGCCAAAAAATCGGGGCTTGATTTATGCCTTTACTGATTGTCTAGACCTAGGAAAGTGTTAATAATGAAAAATAAGCTTAAAAGTGTGATATGCATGCATTTTTTTCTAGAGAGATGGTTGTTGAAAAATATTTACCAGCATACCTCTGCTCATATGTGCCCAGCAATGTGCTAAGTAACTTAGTGCCATCCGCCGTGGAATGGACCTAAAGCCAGAAGAGGAGGATCTAAATCTGGCCCTGACAGTTATTAGTGAGTTGTCTAACTAGGGTTAAATCACTTAGTATTTTAGAACCTCAATTTCCTTATCTAAAATTGGGGTTAAAAACATTTGAGTTGCCTATCTACCTCATAGGGTTGCTGTAAAGAAGGAATTTTGTAAGCCTTAATTTTTTTCATAAATAAGTTATTATGAATAGAAATATTCCTAATAGAAAATTCTTATGAACCAAAGGTCTCATGTATAATCTTATATACAGATCCTATTTTTAAAGCTGCGCCAACTTAATGGACAATTTAGGCTAACGTTTTTATACTGTTCTCTTGTGATGACCATTCGTGCTGCTAGGGATTGTATTAAATATTGCAATAAAGCCTTTTGTTTTTCTTCACATACTCGGAGGATCGATTAATTAAAGAGTATTTTAAAAAAATCTATGCATTGTTCAAATGATAAATATGACTTTCTTTTTGGGGGGGATTTCAGAAATTCAAGACTCCATGGAGAAAATTTTTTACATCTATGCCAGTCTATGCAATTATTGTTGCAAACTTCTGCAGAAGCTGGACCTTTTACTTGTTGCTTATTAGTCAACCAGCTTACTTCGAGGAGGTCTTCGGATTTGAGATCAGCAAGGTATGTAAACGGGTCTTCTCTTTATTTATATAATTTTGGTGAGGATGGTTTTTAATTCTTTTTTTTTAGATGAAAAGCAAGTCCCAGCTCTTTGTCATAATATGAACCTTGAGAAATATACAAGGGGGCATGAACATGAAACCCTTGATCATTCTTGTTGTCTTTTTCTGGATGCTCTCAAAAATAATCTGAAATCTGCTCATTTATTTTCCTTTCCATCTAGAACATATTCCCAAACTCCATTCAATAAGTAGGTTTCAAGGGACTCAAAATATCCTGAAACATAGGATAGATTAAATTGGATAGGCTAGGTTAGAACAGGTCAGGATAGGATGGGATATCTTTCCCCAATGATCTAGTATATTCATGTATACAGCATAGCATGGTGAATAGAGGTGTGGCCTTAGAGTAAGGATAATATGGGTTCAAGTCCTGACTCTGACACATACTATCCATGTGACCATTATCAAGTCACTTTAAACTCTCAGTGCCCCCCGCCCCCAAGAAACTCTGTAAGACTATAAATTACAGATGAATTGTCAATCTGCTCTGGTAGGGAGAATTTACAAATTGGAAGTTCCCCACACTGACGTTACAATAGGTTTAAGCCACATGCCCCCTCAATAAATATGTGCTATATAGGAACACAACATTTAGAAATATTATGAAAAGAAAAAGTTTCCAACTTAATACAAGGTCTGGTTGCATGCCTGTGCTTTAATAAATTGGTATACAAAGTGTTTATGATAGCTTTCATTTATGTAGTACTTACTATGTGTCAGGTACTCTGCTAAGTGCCTTCTAATTCTGATCTCATTTGTTCACATCTTATTCTTCATGTCCTTACCCACACCCATCACAGCTTTCTAGTGTCTGTACTAAATCTCTACCTGAAAGAATTCTTCAGGAGATGGACTGAAGAAAACTTGGTGGGGAGCAGCCATTTTTCAAGCCCTTTGGTAATTCCTGTTTCTAAGGAAACTGTTTTCTTCCTTTCCAAGGAAGAAAGCCGCTTTCCATTGTGCTCATCTTTTCTCCGTAGCAGATCAAACACTCTGGGGAGCACTGTGGGCTGTGACAGTTCAAAAACAATCACTCACACTGGGTCCATAAGCCAGAATGAGTTTGACACCAAGAACTTATGAATAGAGATGGAGCTATCCACCTGGGTAAAGGGGGGAACGTGGGAATGCTCATGAAATACTGGGCTTGCCCTGGAAATAGAAATCTATATAATTAAAAGGGCTTGAGTGAGAAAAAATACATGTCAAAAATTCAATGTTACATATTTATTTGATTCATTTTTATGATAAATCAAACAGTACGGCTTTACCTGTGTCCTTTGTACTTGATACTTGGCCCTGGTAAGCCCACATCAAAAATATTCCTTTCAATTTGGGCCTTTACATTTCGGGAAAGATGTTGACAAGCTCTGGACTGACCAGAGGAAGGCAGCAAGGATGGCTAAGGGTATCAAGTTCATTCCAGATGAGGGGCAGGTAAAGGAGATGGGAATCTTTAGCCTAGGGAAGAGTTCACCCAGGGGAAACAACATAGCTGCCTTCAAGTATTTGAAGGGCTGTCATGGAGAAGTGGATTGACTCTAATCTTGTTTACTTCTAGAGGATAGAACTAGAACCAATGAGTAAAATTTGCAAAGAGGCCAATATAGGCATGATGGCCTGAAATACTTTCTAATATTTAGATCTATCCCAAAGTGGGTTGGGCAGTCTCAAGAAATATTGGCCTCTCCCTCAAGGGAAATCTGCAAGAAAAAGTTGGTTGACTTCTTGTTGGGTATATTATCTCTCTCTCTCTCTCTCCCTCTCTCTCTCTCTCTCTCTCTCTC